GTGTGTAGTGAAATGTGTGTGTGTGAGTATGTATGGTTTGTGTGCTGTCTGGGTGAGTGAGTGTGGTGTTTGTGGTTTTTGAGTTGTGTGTGACAGAGCGTTTCATTTAACAGTTGTTTGTAAATTGATGTGATATCTTTGCAAACCTCTACGCTTTTCAACTAGGATGAGTATAGGTCATAGGGGGCTGAAAATCAGCACCTTAGGTTTGTTTGTTTTTGTGACACTGTGTGTGACTCTATGTGTGTGTGTTTGTGTATGTCACATTCACACTGAATGCATATAGAACAGAGGGAGCTGAATGTGTGACATAGCAATACATGTGTGCATTTGGCCTGGTGAAACAGACTCACAGCCTGACTCTTCTCTTGCCTCTGCTTTAGACAGAAACAGGCAGCTTGAAGCATAGTCCTCTTTATACTAAGTAGGTGGCAATTTATCCACGTGGTTTGAAGGCTCTCGAAGTTCTCTGAATCTCTATTGACCCTCAACCGTTCCCGTATTTCTACCTTTGAGGACATGGTGTCATCAATTTTGGAGTCTAGTCAGAATATTGTAAATTTTGATATAACTTCCCAGTCCTACAGCATCCACAAGATCTCGATACTCTGGGTGGATCACTGGGCAAATTCTCACATCACTCACTCCCTATGTATGCTCAGAACTCAGCCGTTCTGAAGCAATGGAGATGGATGGGGAGAGAGAGAGAGAATGACAGATATGAAGAAAAATATTTATTTGCAAATTTATTAAAATGTAGGGTAGTCAAAAGCTGTATGTGTATTAATTCACAGGGGCCATGGTCTAGGTCTTCAAAGCTTCCCTGAATGTGGAAGACACCACAGAAGTATACAGATTTCAGGGAGCTGCTTAATTTTGATTGACAGCCTCCTCATGTATCTATTATCTTTAGTTCCTGAAGTGTGATCTTGGTCATTCATCCTGCCAATATAATAAAAGTTAATGCTTTGAGCTCTTACTTCATGAAGGGTATGTTCTAAGCATATTACATATATTAGTTCATTTAATCATTCCAATAATGCTGTGTCTGAGAGAGAGAGAGAGCGAGAGAGAGATAGCAAGCATTTGGGATAATGCCACATAACTAGTAAATTGTAATGGTAAGAATCAGACATAAACACACAGCAGCCTGGTTGAAGAACCACACTCTGAGTCAGGACTCTGTGAAGTTGTTCACTAGAATATGATCTTCCAGAGGAAAGGAACTCTGTCTTATTTACTACTCTCTCCTTAGAGCCTATCACAGTGTCTCTCACGTGTTTAGAAAAAATGAATCAATTGTCCCTGGTTTCTGTTCAAGACTCTGATGTCTTCCTATGACCATTCTGAATGAAGCACCAATATGTGAGTGAAATGCAAAGAGATTTGTCTGGAGACTGACAGAGTCACTTGGAGAAAGTGAGTGACCACACAGTAAAGCTATGCTCAGCATTTCTAAGTTCTTGACATTTCCCCTTTCACTTCATTCCCAGGTACAGAAGAGCAGCATGAGGTGGGAGAACCAGAGCAGAGTGTCCGAATTCCTCCTCCTGGGGCTGCCCGTTAGGCCAGAGCAGCAGGCCATGTTCTTTGCCCTGTTCCTGAGCATGTACCTCACCACAATGTTGGGGAACCTGCTCATCATCCTGCTCATCAGGCTGGATTCTCACCTTCACACTCCCATGTACTTCTTCCTCAGCCACTTGGCCCTCACTGATATCTCCTTTTCATCTGTCACCGTCCCAAAGATGCTGATGAATATGCAGGCTCAACACCTATCTATCTCTTATCCAGAGTGTATTTCACGGATGTATTTTTATATGCTTTTTGGTGGTGTTGATAACCTCCTTTTTGCAGTGATGGCATATGACAGATATGTGACCAACTGTCACCCTCTGCAACACACCATGAGGAAGGAGCTGTGTGTCCTGCTGGTGGCTGGCTCCTGGATACTCTACAGTTGCAGTGGCCTATTGCACACCCTTCTCCTGGCCCAGCTGTCCTTCTGTGCTGTCAACACTATCTCCTACTTTTTCTGTAGTCTCCCCAGGTAGACCAATTGTTACAAAATTTAAGTAAGATAATGTCATACCTTCAGATGGCCTCTCAATTCATTCAGAGTAAAAACAAAAAACTGTATTATGGCCTTAAATGCACTACAAATCTGATCCCCTGATATCTCTCAACTTATCATCTACTGTCTCCCTCTCACTTGGCCCATCTAGCTGCAGAAGCCCCTTGATGTTTCCAGAATAGGCTAGAAAGTTTCATCTCAGAGTGTTAGGAATTGCTGCTTCTCGTGCCTGAATACTTTCCACCTGTCCCCCATAGTCCCATGGCTCACTTACCTGTCCTCACTCAAGTCTTTGCTCACATGCTACCTTTCCAATGAGCTCTACCAGGACCACACTATTTAACACTACAAACCCCAGCCCCACCACTCTTGCTCCTCTTTTAATGCTCCTTTTTTCATAGCAGTTTTTACCTACCCTGTTAAGCTGGGTTCTCCAGAGAAGCAAAACCGTGAAGTATTATATATATATAAACAGAGAGAGAGAGAGAGAGAGAGATTTATCTCAAGGAAATGGTTCATGCAGCTGTAGAGGCTGGAAGTCCCAAGTCTGTGGTTCAGGTGTCAGGCTGGAGGCTTCTCATGACTCATGTAGCTGACAAATCCAAGATCGACAGGTTAGATGGCAGGACACTGGCTCACAGGCAGTGGAGGCTGACAAATCCCAAGACGAAAAGGCAATACAGCAGGTCGCTGGCTCAAGTCCCAAGAACCAGAGGTCAGATGATGATGAGCTGGATACAGGATCCAGAGCAAGCAAAAGCCAGCCAGCTTTGCCAGAACGTCCATATATATTGGATGCAGGCCACACCCCCAGTGAAACTCCCTTTACAATTGATTGGCTGATCATATCAGATCACATCATGGAGGTGATTATATTATATCACAAAATGAAGGATAACTACATCATTACGTAACTGCCAAACTAAATCATTACATAACTGCCAAACCACTGAGAATTGTGGCCCAGCCAGGTTAACACACAACCTTAACCATTACACCTACTAATAAAACTTAGAATTTACTTATTTATTTCAGAAACAAAAATTCTTCTCCTTGTAGAGCTTACATTCCAGTACAGAGAAATAAAAGAAAATGAAATAAATAAGTAAAATTTATGGTGTGTTAGAAGTTTAAAAACTGATCTGAAGAAAAAGAGCATGATGAGAGGAATGAGGAGTGCTGAGATGTAAGCTCTACATGGAGACTGACTTTTGTGTCTTTTTTTTTTTAACTTGTATTTCCAGAACCTAGAAAACTGCCTGAACATAGTAGCCATGCAATAAATAATTTTGTGTGCATGAATTATGAATGCATATATTTAGCTTTTCCTTATATGTGGAAGCTGTCAGTTTGGGAGCAAGAGAAAACTCTCATTTTCCCAGATTAACATTAATCAGGCAGATATAGGTTGTCCTCACTACAAAAATTCAACTTACAGAAAAAAAAAATTAGTCTTCCTACAATGGGGAGCTTTGGTAATGGGGACTGACTACTCTGTGCTCTCCTATTAAGTTCTTGTGACAGGGACAAACAAAGTTTATTTAGGTTTTAGAAAACCATCAAAAGAACTTTGTTAAATAGCTACTGCATTAAGAAGGCAAGCATTCTGAGTTTTACTGAAATTTATTCTAGAAACCTTACTGAATATGCATACTTCTGGAAAACAATAGATAAAAAAGAGAAACAAATGAGATTATTGCTATCTCATTTCCTTCAATAAATAGAAACTGTAAGCTACCATTAAAAACCATACCACCTACTGTTGGAGAGTTGAGGGTTTTTTAATGATCAAAACAATATTCCACAAAACTTAAAACAGATTCCACTTAAAGGCCCAAATATTCATTTTATTAAGTAAAGAGAGAGTTGTTATATCACATTTGAGAATTCTTATTATCTACCATGTGGGTGGAAGCCCTGGTGGTGTAGTGGTTAAGAGCTATGGCTGCTATCCAAAAGGTTGGCAGTTCAAACCCACCAGGCGCTCCTTGGAAACCCTATGGGGCAGTTATACTGTCCTATAGGGTTGCTATGACCTCTAATCTTAGCCTAAGATAACCAGATGGCAAAATTGACTTTCCATTTAAAGAGGAAACATAAGCCTGGTGTCATGTGTTCCTTTTGAGAGGGATAGTTGGTATATGTTTTGTTATCTTATCAAGCCTTTCATAACTCTTCAGGAATAAGACAATAGTGTGACCTATTCGGAAGTAATCAATCACACAACTTACTAAAAAGAACTTTGGTGTTTTAAAGTCTACAAAGATGAATGTGTGCTGCAGGCAATGCCATATGTAGGGTTATACAAGAATAAATGGGCAACATATATAACTAAATGAAAGGGATTAGGTCCAAGAGCATAGCTTCCCATCAAAGGACAGTTGGAATGGTTCTAGAGACAAGGGTGGTCCACAAATAATTTTTCAGAAAGCCATCTCTGACAAGGTCTGTGGGTAAAGTAAGAACACCATCAGGTGATTTTCACTTGGAGAAAAGGTTATCACTTCTGAAAAGTATCCCCAGAGCTGATCTCATGTCTCTGTTCCTTAGGCTATAGATGAAGGGGTTCAACATGGGGGTCACTACTGTATACATTAGTGAGGCAATCATGTCTTTCTCATTGGAGTTGCTCGATGACAGGAAAAAGTACAGTGCCACAATTGTTCCATAAAATAGGGACACTACTGAGAGGTGGGAGCCACAGGTGGACAAAGCTTTGCAGACACCTTTGGTAGAAGGCACCTTCAAGATGGAGACCCCAATGCAGCCATAAGAGAGCAGGATGCCACTCAATGGAAAGATGACAACCATAGCCGCTGCAGTGAATAAGAGCAGCTCATTGAGAGAAGTGTTTGAGCAGGAAAGCTTCAGTAGGATGGGGAGACTACAGAAAAAGTGGGGGATGGTGTTGTCAGCACAGAAGGACAGCTGGGCCAGGAGAAGAGTGTGCAAGAGGGCACTGCTGCAGGAGAGTATCCAGGAGCCAGCCACCAGCAGGACACACAGCTCCTTCCTCATGATGGTGGTATAAAGTAGAGGATGACAGATGGCCACACACCTGTCATAGGCCATCACTGCAAGAAGGAAGTTATCAACACCACCAAAAAGCATATGAAAATACACCTGTGAAATACACTCTGGATAGGAGATGGATAGGTGTTGAGCCTGCATATTCATCAGCATCTTTGGGACGGTGACAGATGAAAAGGAGACATCAGTGAGGGCCAAGTGGCTGAGGAAGAAGTACATGGGGGTGTGAAGGTGAGAATCCAGCCTGATGAGCAGGATGATGAGCAGGTTCCCCAACATTGTGGTGAGGTACATGCTCAGGAACAGGGCAAAGAACATGGCCTGCTGCTCTGGCCTAACGGGGAGTCCCAGGAGGAGGAATTCGGACACTCTGCTCTGGTTCTCCCACCTCATGCTGCTCTTCTGTATCTGGGAATGGAGTAAAAGGGGAAATGTCAAGAACTTAAAAAGGTTGAGCATAGCCTTACTGTGTGGTCACTCACTTTCTCCAAGTGACTCTGTCAGTCTTCAGACAAATCTCTTTGCATTTCACTCACATATTGGTGCTTCATTCAGAATGGTCATAGGAAGACATCAGAGTCTTGAACAGAAACCAGGGACAATTGACTCATTTTTTCCAAACATGTGAGAGATACTATGATTGCCACTAAGGAGACAGTAGTAAATAAGACAGAGTCCTTTCTTCTGGAAGCTCACATTCTAGTGAACAATCTCATAGAGTCCTGATTTACAGCATGGTTCTTCAGCCAGACCGCTGTGTGCTTATGTCTGATTCTTGCCTTTACAATTTACTAGTTATGTGACATTATCCCAAATGCTTCTTCTCTCTCTCTCTCACACACACATATACACAGCATTATTGGAATGATTAAATGAACTAATACATGTAATTATGCTTAGAACATTCCCTTCACAAAGTAAATGCTCAAAGCATTAACTCTTATTATATTGGCAGGATGAATGACCAAGATTACACTTCAGGAACTAAAGATAATAAATATATGAGGAGGCTGTCAATCAAAATAAAGCAGCTTCCTGAAATCTGTATACCTCTGTGGTCTCTCCCACATGCAGGGAAGCTTTGAAGAGCTAGACCGTGGCCTCTGTGAATTAATGCCCCCACAGCCCTTGACTATCCTACATTTTAATAAACTTGCCAATAAATATTCTTCTTTGTATCTCTCATTATCTCTCCCCATCCATCTCCACTGCTTCCAAAAGGCTGAGTTCTGAGCATACATAGGGAATGAGTGATGTGAGAATTTGCCCAGTGATGCACCCAGAGTATCAAGATCTTGTGGATGCTGTAGGACTGGGAAGTTATATCAAAAGTCACAGTGTTCTGACTAGATTCCAAAATTGACCACTCCATGCTCTCAAAAGTAGAAGTATGGGAATTGCGGAAGGTCTACGAAGACCCAGAGAAATTGAGGAGCCGTCAAATCACATGCAGAAACTGCCACCTACTTAGTTTCAAGCTGCCTGTTTCTGTCTAAAGCAGAGACAAGAGAAGAGTCAGGCTGTGAGTCTGTTTCACCAGGCCAAATGCACACATGTATTGCTATGTCACACATTCAGCTCCCCCTGTTCTATATGCATTCAGTGTGAATGTGACACACAAAAACACACACAGAGGCACACACAGTGTCACTGAAAAAACAAACCCAAGGTGCTGATTTTCAGCCCCCTATGACCTATACTCACCCTAGTTGAAAAGTGTAGAGGCTTGCAAGGATTTCACAGCAATTTACAAACAACTGTTAAATGAAACGCTCTGTCACACACAATTCAAAAACCACAAACACCACACCTAGTCACCCAGACAACTCACACACCATATACACACACATACACATTTCACTACACGCACTGAGAATCCAATGCAGTCACACATAACACACAGAAAACTTATTTTTCAATTGTGTCATATATATACATATATATACACACACATGTATATACACACATATATAAAAGAGAACATTTACAATTTCAGCATTTTTTACATGTACAATTCTGTGGTTAATTACATTCATCATGTTAAGCAGCCATTATCGCTGTATAGTCCCTAATTTTTCTATCACCTTTTACAGAAATTTAGTGAGCCCTAAGTAATGACTTCCCTTTTCCCCTCCTCTCCTGTCCCTAGTAACCACTAATAAACTTTGGTCTATTCTAGAAATTTCATGTAAGTGCAATAATACAATATTTGTCCTTTTGTGACCAACTTACTTCACTCAGCATAATGTTTTCAAGATTCATTCATGTAGCCAAAAGGTGGCCATTCATGTTGTAGCCCAAAGGTGGAAACAATGCCCATCAGTAGATGAATGGATAAGCAAAATGTGGTACATACATACAATGTAAGATTACTCAGCCACAAAGAGAAACAAAGTCCTGATAACACACTACGAGTAACATTTAAAAAGCAACACACACACATCAATACAAAAACATACAAAAATACCTGCACACATTGGCAAGAGATTTCTAGCCCTCTAGAAATGATCTGTACAAGGAACCCTGGTGCACAGTGGTTAAGAGCTCGACTGCTAACTGAAATATCAGCAGTTCAAACCCACCAGCTGTTTTGCAGGAGAAAGATGTGGCGGTCTGCTTCCGTAAAGATTTACAGCCTTGGATTATGCTGAGTGAATTTAGTCAGTCACAGATGGGCAAATATTGTATAAGACCACTATTATAAGCACTCAAGAAAGGGTTTAAACACAGAAGAAAACATTGTTTGATGGTTACAAGGGTGGGGAGGGAGGGAGAGGATTATTCACTAACTACATTGTAGATAAGAATCATCTTAGGTGAAGGGAAGAACAGCACACACTACAGGGGATGTCAGAACAACTGGACTAAACCAAAGCCAAGAAGTTTCCTGAATACAACCAAATACTCTGAGGGACAGAGTAGCAGGGACAGGGGTCTGGAGACCATGCTTTCAGGGGACATCTAGGTCAACTGGCATAACAAAGTTTGTTAAGAAAATGTTCTGCATCCTACTTTGGTGAGTGTTGTCTGAGGTCTTAAAAGCTAGTAAGGAACCATCTAAGATGCATCAGTTGGTCCCAACCCACCTGGAGTAAAGGAGAATGAAGAACATTAAAGTTACAAGCAAAGTATTAGCTCAAGAGACAGAAAGGGCCACATAAAGCAGAGACCACATCAGCCTGAGACCAGAAGAACTAGGTGGTGCCTGGCTACCACCAATGACTGCCCTGACAGGGAACACAACAGAGAGTCCCTGACAGAGCAGGAGAAAGGTGGTGTGAAGAACTCAAATTCTACTAAAAACACCAAACTTAATGGTCTGACTGAGACTGGAGGAAAGCCGGAAAGCATGGCCGCCAGACTCTCTGTCAACCCAGAACTAAAACCATTCCCAAGGCCAACTCTTGAGACAAAGATTAGACTGGGCTATGGGACATAAGATGATACTTGTGAAGAATGTGCTTCTTAGCTCAAGTAGATGCATGAGCCTAAATGGGCAGCTCCTGTCCGGAGGTGAGATGGGAAAGCAGAGAGGGTCAGGAGCTGGTTGAATGGACACAAGAAATCAGGGGTGGAAAGGAGGAGTGTGCTGTCACAATATACAGAGAGCAATTAAGGTTACATAACAATGTATGTATAAATTTTTGTATGAGAGACTAACTTGAATTGTAAACTTGCACTTAAAGTACAATAATAAAATAAAGAAAAAAAAAGATTTATAGCCTTGGAACACTATGGGGCAGTTCTACTCTGTCCTATAGGGTTGTTACAAGTCAGAATCGACTCCATAGCAATGGATATGGGTATAGTCTATACAAGCACTGTTCCATAGGACTTTCTGCAATAATGGAAATGTTCCATATCTGCACTGTCCAATATGGCAGCCACTAGTCTTATGTGACTACTGAGCACTTGAATTGTGACTGGCACAACTGAAGAACCAAATTTTTTATTTTATTTAATTTTAACTAATTTTAATGTATATGGCCACATATGACTGGTGGCTATTATATTAGACAGTGCAGATCTATATATTTCCAAGGAGGAAACAGTGTGTGAGTCAATTACCCACTAAAAATACATGGTTATACAAGCAACACAAACACGCATACTTTCCAGATACACATATCTAAGTCAAGTGGTGGTTCCCAACCGTGCTGTGCTCTGTGTCAGTCCTTAGAGGTCCAAGCTGCTACCTGAGTCCTCACCTTTGTTCTTATGCTTCTGTGGCCTAAGGATCTTTAGCACCTTCCATGTCTGTTTGTAAGCACCAGAATAATGGGCATTAAGATCCTTGCGTACCGATAAGACTAAGACCCAGGGGAAAACTTCTGGTTAGAGAAGGAGCCAACAGGGCTAACGGCCCAATTTCCTGCCTTCCTCTTGAGATGTATCCTGTGCAGAGGCCAAAGGGGCTGAGCCACAGGAATCACAGGGGAAAATGTCCCTAATGTCAGTGACATGTTGGGCTCCCCTCTGCCAGGTCATTAGGAACAGCAGTGGACATGGACAGCCTTGGCCTCTGAAGGACACACAGCATTGTTTCCATACATCACAAAATGGGCTGGGGTAGGGCCCAGCCCTTGCAGACTCCCACACCGCAGACCCCAACCTCCATCAGAGCACAAATTCCACTGTTCTCTGAGAACTTGCAGGTCTCTCCACTCCCTTGAGATGCCATGCAAGGCAGGGGCTGAGGCTTGTTCCAGAGATGATAGAGTAGAGGGATTGATCCCAAGGGCATACATATACACTGCCCAGAGATCAACACCTGTTCTGCCACTTGCTCATTTACTAATTTTTAAAGGTCTCTCTGCTAACCTCGAAGCCCCTGCAGGGCAGGAATCTTGCCTTATTCAAGAGGAATTGGTTCTAAGCTCTGATACTTAGTAGCACTGTGCTCACAAGCAATTTAAGTGAATTCCCACAGCCTCAGTTTCCACAGCTGTACAATCAGAATAACAATAGCAGCAGCCTCATTAGACTAATGTGAAGATTAAATAAAATAATGATACAAATGTATGGCAACCATGGAGGTACACCACCTGGAGTTCCCTTCAAGAGAACCTACTGCAGGGAGCATTGTTGACTGACAGTCCCAGATGCCACAACTGTGGATCCCCTGCAGTGTTCACGCTGAAGCCACACTTGCTCCAGGCTTCTCTCAACCAATGAATGAGACAACAGTGTTATATCACTGGGCCTTTTTTGCCCAATGTAACATTCCTCTAATGAACAGCTACTGCTTAGGGTACTGCCTATCAGCCTGGCCAAGAATTTCTGAGAAATTCACTGTGGTTTGAGGCTTTTCCCAACTAATCCTCTTTGTCTCCTTTCACAGGTGTCAGGCCTGCATTGCAGTCGGAAAGCTCTCCCTGCCTACTTCTTCTCCT